GCGGAAGCTGGAAACCAGAACGTCCCTTTCTAAGACTCACCCCGTGTCGTGCTACAATAAGGCTTTGGAAAGTCTTCGATTTAACTTTAGTCCACTCTTTAGCCATGGGGCCCTTTAAAGAATGACATCTCATGACAACTCTCCTCCACGAGACAGCCTGGGAGACACTGGCTTACAGGAGAGGACTGATCTCCCGGGATTGTCGTGTTGGGGGAGTTGTGTATTTCAGAATTCTTTGAATGGGGAGGGAGGCAGGGGAGGTTGAGGTTGGATATCCGTCAGCCAGACGGGAAACACGTTACTTGGAATAAGAAGTCGAGGGCAAACCAGCTAGCGTATGGTGCACTGTTAAACCCAGCGTCTCTAGTGACGGTGTGCAGACAGCCACGTGCGAGTAGGTTGGTGAGCACAGCCCACTTTGTCGTCCTGACCGTCCCGCCATGGGAGGGCTCAGGCTTTTCATCTCCATTTAGCCAGCGCAAAGCTAGACCCGAGAAGGCAGAGGCCTTACCGAAGGCCACACCATCAGTAAACTGGGGCGTTAAGGGGAAGCCAGGTCCCAGACTGCTGGTCTTCCTGCCCCCGCCCGCCCTCCTGCAGAGTGTCCCCATTGTCCGCAGTTTTCAGAGAGAACTGTGGCTGGGAAGGGAGGTGGCTTTTTGGCACTGACTTGAAGTGGCTCGTGACTGAAGGTCAGATTTCCAAAGTGCTCAACAGCACACAGTCTGCAGGGAGCTGACGGCCGTCATCCTGCAGGACACGCGGAAATGGGGGTTTAGAAAGTGTCCTGCTGCCCACGACAGTGCTGGAAGTTTTGGAGGGCAGTTCTGGGCTAATGGTGTAAGCCTTGTATCAAGCTACTGACTCACTCCTCCTTTTAAAGAGCAACAGCTTTATTACAGCACATGCACATGCTATCCCGCTCACCCACTTGACGGGTACGGTTCAGGAAAACCTACGCGTGGTGTCCGCATCTTTCTGCGCCACAGTCAGCTCGCATTTCAGTTGCGTTTTGCCGTGAACCTTCTGAATCCCCCTCCTCTATCAAGAGCTAGGCCATCACCGTTGTCCACTTCCAGAGCGTTTCGTCAGCCCCGAGAGCAGCCCGTGCCCGGTGGCGGCTCCTCCTCGTGTCACCAACCTCCTAGCCGCAGTGGGCCCCAATCTCTGTCTCTGCATTTGCCGGTTCTGGACGCTGGCTGTAAATGCAGCCGTGCGATGCGTGGCTTCGTGTCTGCCTCCTTTCACTCCCAGGGCTTTTGTTGTTTTCATTTTGCCAAAGGACGCGTGTTCACGTCTTCAGAGGGGACGTGAGAAACCACCCCCACGCGGCATGGTCACACCACAGTCTGTTCTCCATTCTGCTTTCAGCCCGGCGTGCTTTTTAGGCCACCGAGTCCAGGACTCCAACGGTGCCGGTGGCCACGTGGGACCCAGCTGCCCTCGCCACCAGGCCGGTTGATTTTGGCGAAGTCTGAGCTATCTTCGTGTTGGTGTGCTCTGGTCCACGTCTGGTCAAAGGTGCGGACTGAGGCTTGCACACTCTTCTAAGAACTAAGAGTCTCATAGCGTTAGCTCTTTCAGGCGGGCCTTTACCCATGTAGAGTTCGTCTTATATATGATATGAGAGAAATGTTGTGTTCACCAGCGACTGTGAGTCTCCACCCAAAGCGCACTCCTACGCGGTTATCGAGTGCCCCAGCACCACTTGGTCAACGGATTTCATGATTGCTCCTTTTTTGTTTTAATGTGCAAGAGGGCACGTTTGCTCACCGTGGAGAGACAGCGAGGGGCAGACGGGGAACACAGCCCCACAGGGTATGGCCACTCCACGGCCCCTTCTCCATTTTCCTTCCTGCAGGGTTTGTGGCGCAGGCATGCACCTACCCACACCTGGCAGGTTTCCAGGCCACCGAGTGCACACGGCTGACCGTGTGGGGTCCAGCTCTCTTAAGCACCGTGCTATGGGCCGGGCCCTGTTCTTGTCCTAATGGAGGAAAGTTAGAGCCGCTCCTGTTTGCAGAGCCTCCAGAGCAGGAGAGGGGGCTGGGGTGGCCACGGGGACTGGCCACCAGTTTCACCGGTTTCACCTTTGCTCTGGGTTCCGGCTCTCGGCACGTCCATCTTTTCCGTTTGTTGCATGTGAGATAAACATGGTGTGCGCCCTCCAGGGAGAGAGGAAGTACGGCCAGCGGGGCGTGCCGATGCTCCCGTCCTTCACCCATTTCTCATTCCCTCAGGAATTCGGGCGCACACCCACTCATTTTGTTCCTTTCTTTCTTTTTTTCTTTTGGAGAGGTTTTTGCTACAGGGCGCGTGCGCTCGCCAGACAGACAGAGAGAGACAGAATGCGAGAAGTCACCCCCCAGGGGGGATGGTCACGCTGCAATCCCTTCTCCTCTATCCTCCTCTCGGGATCTTGGGCACGCATGCACACGCGCCTGGTGTGAGTTTTAAGTCATCGGGTCCAGGACACGAACCGCAGTCAACTACACGGGAGTCCAGCGACATAGCCATTACGCCAACTGCTGGTCCCTCATTTTGTTTCTCAAGCTGCCAGGGCCAGGCCTTGACCTGGGATCAACCACGTAGGCTCCAGGCCCCTGCACTGCACTGAGCCTGTGCTGCAGGCCGGCCCAGGACGGCGTTTAAATACTGCTAATCTATAAAGGAAGGACTGAAAGGATGGTTCGTGGGCAAGGATAATGCATAATGAATGGTTCAGCAAAAAAGTTCATAGTTTCTGAAAGGCCGAAGTGTGCGGGGGTATATTCAGCTTGCAGAATATCATCCTACTGGCCGTGAGTCCTGGGGAGCTCGGGAGCAGGGCTGCTCCCCCGTTGTCCAGCATGATGGGCGAGCTGGCCGGTACGAAGAGGGCACGCAGTTAGAGCCACGCAGGCCGGGGCCGAGGCCGGGCGGTGGGGACGGTGTGCATGCTGCACTGCTCTGGTTCCAGGAGCTCTAAGGCTGGGGCCCTGGCCCTGGGGTGCCGTGGCCCTGGCCCTGGGGTGCCGTGGCCCTGGCCCTGGGGTGCCGTGGCCCTGGCCCTGGGGTGCCGTGCTCAGGCCCATGCAGAAGACGTTGGATATAAATGCAATCATGCAACACGTGGTCTTCATGTCTGGCTCCTCTCACTCCCAGGGTGAAGCAGGACGTAGCCAGGGCCTACGTGGCCGACCAGGGCTGAAGTCGCAGCCTCAGTGGCCTGCAAACCAACCAGCTTTCCTTGTCTGTACGCTCAGGACCCGCACGGCGTGGTGAACTGGAGGAACACGGATTGCAATATGACCAGGCCCCACTAGGGGGCCCCTCGTGCTCTCTCACATTAAAAAAAGAAAAGGCGTAATGTTACATTGCTTTTAAAAAGTAATTGCTGGAGGGTGCATGTGATTGCCAGAGACAAAGGGGAGCCCCTTCTCCACTTCTCCATCCTGTCGGAACCTGGGTCATGCATGCACAGAGCTGCCAGGGCTGGGACTTGAGCCACAGTTGGCCCTGTGCGATCTGGCTTCGCTCAGCCACTGAGGGCCTGCACTTGCTGTCCTCGGGGGGAGGGAGCAGAGGATGTACTGGGTGTCTGGGGGTGAGCCCGGGCTGTGGAGAGGGGAGTGGCTGCCCATGCCATGGCCTGTATGAGAGACGCTGTCGGGGTGCCCTCTCTCAGCCACTCTCGCTCATGGAGGGACGACATAAAGTTAGGAAATGAGTAGAGCTGATTGCAGGACGGGCACTTCTGAAAAGTGCCGCAGACAGTGGAGCAGGGAGAACGCCAAGCTGTGCAGGGTCCCAGCGGGAAGGCTCCGATGGCGGCACGGGAAGCTCCCTGCTGAGGCCGGCATGTGCCTGCTCCTGGTCCAGTGCTGGAGGCTGGGGGCGAGCATAGTGTCAGGACCCCACTGGGAGGCGCGCGTGCTCTCAAAAGTTGAAAATATGTCTAACAGGAGCTCCTGGACTTAACAGTGGACTCGCATTTTTAAAGTCTAGTCCTTCAAAGTTAGGCGATGAAGGCGTGCTTGGGAACGCTGGGCTTCAGTGCTGTGTACAGGCTTTACGGGCGCCTTCGTGTGTCCTTAACACCTTCCCCCAATCGCGTGGCCGTTGCAGCTGGTAGCCAGTGTGCAGGCACGCCTTCCGCTCGGAGCTCTCCGCACGGCACAGGCGGCCCTGGAGGAGCCGGGCGCCCTCCTGCCCGGCCCTTCTGCCCCCTGGACGTGGCCTCTCCCGGTGGAACTTGGACCCCTTTGCCTTCAGGTGAGGAGAAACGAACAGTTTGGAAATAAAGCTTTGTGTCTGTTTTTTTCTTTTTGCCATTAGGCATGTGCAGTTGCCAAAGAGAGGGAGAAAACAGCCCCAATGGAGTGTCATCCCACGGCCATTCCTCCTCCGTCTCCTCATCCCATGGGCTTTGAGGCACGCACACTCATGCACCCAGCACGTTTTCCAAGCCATCGCACTGGGCCTCAAACCGTGTGGCTGGCTGTGTGGGGGAGGCCCCCCTGACCACCAGGCCACGGGGCTGGCCCCAAAGAGTTAGTATTTCTAGGTGCACAGGCATTTGTACAGTTGTGGGGAAATGAATGGGCGTTGTTTAGGCTTAGAAAAACATGGCATTTAATTTGGAACTAGTAAACCCAGACAGGTAAAGAAAAATAACACAGAGCTAGCTCATCACTCAGTAATTACTAGCTAATTACTTTTTTTTTTTTTGAGAGGTTTTTCTACAGGGCGTGTGCGCTCACCAGACAGAGAGAGACAGAGAGACAGAAAGCAAGAAATCACCCCCCAGAGGGGATGGCCACGCCGCAATCCCTTCTCCTCCATTCTCCTCTCAGGATCTTGGGCATGCACGCACACGCACCCGGCGTGAGTATTAAGCCACCGGGTCCGGGACACAAACCGCGGTCGACTGTGGGAGTCCAGCGACATAGCCATGACGCTAACTGCTGGTTCCAGTAGCTAATTACTTAGTAAGATGTATTCCACTCTTTCTTTTACAGGCCATCAATATTATGGAACTGACTTTACAGAAATATGGAAGTTATGAAAAATTTGAACAGGCCACGGGTGGCAGCTTGCTGTCCAAAACCCGGATCTGGAGTCACGTTAGGAAGTACATGGTGAAGGAGGGCTGCCTGGGTGAGGTGGGTGCAGCGCTGACCCCGGGGTGGGCGTGGCGGGCTCCTGGCTGTGCCCCAGTGCAGCCTCCAGGCCTTTCCTGCACCCTATGCCCTCTCTAAAGGGCCCTGCAGGTTTCTCACCAGGTACCGGAAGTCCCAGTTCCTCTCGTACTGAATCGTTCAGATGTGCTCAGTGTCCTTCCCTCTTCCTTTCCTTACTGCCATCTCTGTGGGATAATATGCATTACTTTATGGAAATTGTTAGTAAAGAGATTTGCCCCGTAGGCTGTCTTAGTAGTTATCGGATCTGTCTACTGAAACTAGTTCTCCCATGAGTGAATGAGACAGACAGACCACAGCGAGGTGTTGTGACCCCCAGCAGGGTCCTTCAGCCAGCGCTGGCTCGGGCCGTGTCCAGCACTCAGGGAGGAGCCCTCTCACGCGGCGGCCTGCCCCCCAGTCTGACCTGATTGGACCAGCACTGGCGCCCGGAGGACTCTGGCTCCCCGAACCTGTTGGGGATCGTTTTAGCCGGGACCAGGACCGAGAGCCGGGGAGGGTTACTCTCGTCCTCTGTTCTTTCCCAGCATAGGCATCTCCTTCGCCCAGTCCCGTTCTCCAGACCCCCCCAGTGCACAGTCGGGGCCGGAGGCGACTGGCCCCATGCCCATCTCGGTTCCCGGGAGAGTCAACATGGTTGTAAACAAAAGCACTTTCTAGATCCTTCGTTTTCCGTGGAAGCTTTTCCCTCTGCCTTTCCGCTTTGCGTGTGTGTACACACACACTCTCATGCACACACTCACGTGCACACCCACACGCGCACACATTCATATACACACTCACGCGCACACCCACATGCACTCACACACACATGCACTCACACACGCGCGCGCGCGCACACACACACGCGCGCACACCCACTCTCCGTCTTTCTCCCTAGATCGTCGTCCACCTCACTGAGGACCTGCTGTCCCGAGCCTCGATGACGGTTGTGAATGGGTGTCCCACCCTGACCATCAACGTCTCCACCGCCCGCGAGCACTGGCTGGAGGGGATGCTGAGGCATGAAATAGGTAGGAGCCACTGCGGGCCTGTCGTCCTCGCTCGTGGCCATCAGGACTCGGGCCCGGGGGTGTTCTTTACTGTAGGATGGCGCTTGCTCTCTCTCTCTCTCTTTCTTTTGGAGCGGTTTTTGCTATAGGGCGTGTGTGCTAGCCAGAAAGACAGAAACAGACAAAAAGCAAAAAAATCACCCCCCAGGGTGGGGTGGCCACCCCACAATCCCTTCTCCTCCATTCTCCTCTCAGGATCTTGGGCACGCACGCACATGCGCCCAGCATGAGTTTAAGCCACCAGGTCCGGGACTCAAATTGCAGTCGACTACATGGGAGTCCAGGGACGTAGCCATTATGCCATCTGCTGGTCCCCCAAGGATGGCGTTTTCTCAGTAGGCGAAGGCAGTGTGGAGGTTGCTCTGTTGCCCTGGGCTGCAGCTGAGGGCTGCTCCCCATGGGCACCAGGGGTTCCCAGGCGCTGCTCCCCATGCAAACCAAAGGGCTGCAATCAAGTGATCTCTGAGATTCTTTTGAAGTATCAAGTTTGTGATTCTTCTCTTAAAGCATTATAGGGGGGACCAGCAGATGTCGTAATGGCTATGTCACTGGGCTCCCATGTGGTCGACCGTGGTTCGAGTCCTGGGCCCAGTGGCTTAAACTCACGCCGGGTGCATGTGCGTGTGTGCCCAAGATCTCGAGAAGAGAATGGAGGAGAAGGGATTGTGGTGTGGCCATCTCCCCTGGGGGGTGATTTCTTGCTTTCTGTCTCTCTGTCTTTCTGGCGAGCACACACGCCCTATAGCAAAAACCTCTCCAAAAAAGAAAAAAGGTGTTATAGGAGCCAGCAGGTGGTGTGGTGGATAAGGTGCTAGACACTCCCACGTGGCCGACTGCGGTTCGAGTCCTGGACCTGGCAGCTTGCTTTTTCATTTCTTCTCTCTCTGTCTCTCTGGTTAGTGCACATTCTCTATAGCAAATTAATAATAATAAAAGTAAACAACTCTTTTTAAAAAACACAAGTGTTATAAAGGTTATGCCTCTTCTAATGACACAGGTGATCCTTTGAAGGCTCTTCAGACCCAAAAGGCTGTAGGTTCGGGTCATTTTCTGCTCTGATTTATAGGTAGAAAATCAGTTTGCTTTTAGAATTATTGATAGAAGCATTTCGGGGAGAACTACTGAAAGTAAGAATGGCATTTCTTACCATCGTGTGCCTCGTCTCCCCATAGGCACACATTATTTTCGAGGCATCAACAACCTCCAGCAGCCATGGAACAGCTGGACTGGCCGTAGGAAACACGAGCTAAAGCCCAACAACCCCACAGAGGAAGGCCTGGCGAGCATCCACAGCGTCCTGTTCCGGAAGGACCCCTTCCTCTGGAGGGCCGCCCTGCTCTACTACACCGTGTTCCGCGCCAGCCAGCTGTCTTTCTGCGAGCTCTTCCGGGATCTTGGCAAGTTCGTCAGGGACCCCAACACGAGATGGGATTACTGTGTGCGAGCCAAGAGAGGGTGGACTGACACTTCCCAGCCAGGTGGGTGTCCCGGGCTGCATGTTTTCTGACTTTCTGGCCAGTCGTCCGATCTTCCCTAACCCTAACCCTTCAATGCGAGAGTCCTCTGACTGTGAAAGGCTAGACCTCGTGCGCGAGGTCAGTGCCAGCTTGCCTAAACCATTCTCCTCGCATCGCTTCTCTCCAGCTCCTTGTGGAAAATTTCAGACCAACGGCGTCTGGAATGGGTGGTGCAGTGAACCCCACATACTCACGTCTGGGCTCACCACTGGCTACCATTTCGCCATTTTTGCTTTTTCTCGCTCTGACTTCTTAAAAACAGCTTTGCCGAGATATAATTTACATGCCATACCACTCACCCATTTAAAATGCGCATTTCATTAACTCTCAGACATTCTCCTACCAAATGTCATTTGCAGTCACCTAGCTGTCACCGCCAGTTCTGGCATGGTGTCCTCTCCCGGAAGAGTCTGGTACCCACCAGTCGTCAGAGCTGTGGCCCGACCTCAGCCTTGCTGTGAGCCACCACTTCAGTGCTGTGTTTCTTTCAGGCCCTGCAGATTCGCTCTTTGGGGCGTTTCATGTCAATGGAATCATGTATGTGATCCTTGAGGCTCACTTCAGTAGGCATGTTGTCTTCGAGATGTGCCCATGTCGTGGCATGTGCCCGTGTTTCAGTTACTGCTGGATTAATACCCGCTGTCGGAGAGATCACATTTCAGTACACGTTCACCAGCTGGTCACGCTTCGCTCGCTCCCACTGTTTGGCCATTACAAATACGCATCTGTGAGCGTTTCTGGGCACGGTTTGTGTGGACGTGTTTCCGTTTCCCTAAGTGTGCACCCGGGAGTGCCGAGCCGTGGGATAAGTCCGTGTTTAACCTTTTGGGGAACTGCCAGGCTGTGTCCGAGGTGCCTGAACCGTTTCAACTCCCGATCGGTGCATGGGTGTTTGTTTTTCCGCATCCCTGACAACACTTGCTATTTTCATAGTTAGAGTCTGACTGTAACCACCCTCGCAGGTGTGACGCGTGTCACTGCAGTGCGATGGCCCTTCTCTGACGACTACAGAGTTCAGCGTGGTTCTGAGCACTTCTGTGCCGGTTCTGAGCCTTCTTTGAACAGCTGTCTGTTTAAGTCCCTGCCCCTCCCCACCTTTGTCTTCACATTTCTGCCCTGGGGAGCGCATGCTTGCCAGAGAGACACTAGAAAGACAAAGAGAGAGAGACAGAAAGCGAGAAATCATCCCCTGCCCCGGGGCATGGCCACACCGCAATCCCTTCTCCCCCTTTCTCCTCTCAGAATCCTGGGCATGCATACACATGTGCCTGGCGTGAGTGTAAACCACCAGGTCCGGGACTCGAACCGCGGTCGACTACATGGGAGTCCAGTGACATAGCCATTACACTAACTGCTGGTCCCCAGAGTAAGTATTCTTGACAGTGCTACTACACACGTGACGTTGGGCCACATTAACAGCCACCTACTGCCAGACCGCCTCGCCCTCAGAGGCGCCAGGCCCACCCTGACTCACGGTGGCGATTACGCGCTCCCCTTTGTAAGGCCCGTTTCCCATTTAGACCCCTGTGTTAGTGAGCGAGTGACCACTGACACGGCAAAGGCATGCGGCTGTCCCAGCTGATGGCTCTCACCAGTCCTGCTGCCTGCCCGAGTCTGGCATTTCAGTGGGGAAGTCGAGCACGGCTCTTTTCTCTTCGTTTGTCTGAGAGCAAAGGCAGAGAGCACGGCCACGCCAGCAAGTCTAGTTCCAAGTAAAGGGCTGCTCAGGTGGAAAGTAACACTGTCAGCAGCCGTAAAACAGAGGGCCCACGGAGTTTTGTTGTTTTCTTCTATTGTTAACAAAAGAAGCAAGGTTTATGGTACTACAAAGATGCCATTTTAAAAAAGGATGAGAATTGGGAAATGCTTTTTTATTTTAATTTTAATTTTAATTTTTTATAGCATGCACTTGCCAGAGAGACAGAGACAGAAAGTGAGAAATGCCCCCGTGCGGGCATGGCCATGCCATAGTCCCTTCTGCATTCTCCTCTTAGGATCTTGGGCTTGCACACACACATGCCCAGCAAGTTTATTTGTTTTTCAGAGTTTTTTTGCTATAGGGCATGTGCACTCACCAGAGAGACAGAGACAGAAAGTGAGAAATCACCCCCCAGGGGGGATGGCCACACGGCAATCCTTTCTCCTCCATTCTCCTCTCTGGATCTTGGGGACGCACGCCCATGTGCCTGGTATGAGTTTAAGCCACCGGGTCCAGGACTCAAACCACGGTCGACTACATGGGAGTCCAGAGACATAGCCATTACACCAACTGCTGGTCCCACTTCATTATTTTTCACTGTAAGAGGGAAGGTGCACTCAGCAGAGAGAGACAGCGAGGGAAGGCAAGCCTCCCCGCTGGGCCCTGGTCACAAGGCGCGCTCCCCCTCCATTGCTCCCTCCTGTGGGGACCCCGGGAGCAGGGACTCAAACCGCAGTCTGCCATGTGGATCTACTGCTTCAGGCACGTCTAACAGGGCTGGCCCAAAAGTCATTTCGATTTCCAGATGAGTTCCAGATATCAGCACGTTTTCTTCCAAAACATCTTTTTTGTAAGAGAGATTTTTGGTATAGGGTGTGTGCACTCGCCAGAGAGAGAGAGACAGAGAAAGAGAAAACGAGAATCACCCCAGGGGGATGGCCCAGTCACAATCCCTTCTCCTCTTCTCCTCGTGGGATTTGGGCAAATCTGCACACATGTGCCCAGCGTGAGTTGAAGCCACCGGGTCCAGAACTTGAACTGCAGTCAACTACGTGGGAGCCCAGCAACATAACCATTATGCCATTTGCTGGCCCCTCCAAAATTATTTTTGAACTGTTTGGAGCTTGGAAATACTCAGGTTGGTGATGGCTGTGCGGCCAGTCCAGCCTTCATGGACGTTTTATGCGGGCGATGCAGCGCTCTGAAGGTGTGGTGCCTGAAACCAGGGCCAGGCAAGCCAGGAAGCAGGAAAGGGGAGACCCCTTCCCCCCACCCAGGTGTGCTGGCCACTCCAGTCAGGTTCCAGTCAGCTGGGCGTCTGCTCCAGCTCCTCGGAGGGCCCCGTGGCATTTGGTGCCGTGTCCAGACCCCGCACAGGCGTTCCCGCCGCCACCACCTGGGCACGTCTCTTCAGATGGGTCTGCTTTTTCTTTTTTTCAAGTACTTTTTTTTTTCTTACTTTTTATTATGGAAAATCTAAAACATATACAGAAGCAGGATCCATCTGCTG